TCACTTAGTTACCACAATTGGCCAAATCTTTAAGACCTATTAACTCAACAATCTGAACTTTTCCAGTCAAAAAAATACGTAATGTTATAGAATAGTCAATTAACTATTGATTTACGTATCTTCTAATTTTTCTGAATTATTTTGAGGACTCTGATATGATTTGAAGTTAATTTTTTTATGTGGTGACTAAGTGACCCGCACTGTAGAAATATATCAAAATACTTTTATTTTTATTTGAAAAAAAATCAAGAAATTCTAATTTGTAATTTACTTATCATAACTTTTAAGTCTAAAAAACACTTTATCAATCAGTATTTTTAAACTTCCTAAACTTATTTATTGCATGGATGTGCTAAACAACCTAAACTTTATTAATTCAACGTAGAAAAATATCGCAATCACTAAGTAAATTAATAAAAAAAAACTAAAATAGAATTTTAAGAGACGAAAAGTAAAAAGTAAAAAATAATTATGATGGCTGGTAAGGATAGTAATTTATAATGGATATCATATAATCGGTGGATGATGAGTAATTTAATGAAAGAGAAAAGAATCCCACTTACCACCCTCCACCTAAAACCTCTACTCCCATTCCCATTTCTACGAACTCTCCACCCTCATGTTCCAAAATTTATATAAATAAAATAAATAGGTTTTTAAATAGTTATTCTAAACTTGCTCTTCGACGAACCCATTATCGACACCTGGTTCAAGGAGACTTGCGTGACCTAACACTAAAGTTGCCGACGCGCCTATTAATGATGATAAAGTAAAAACCGCAAACAACGTTAAATAATAAAATTATAATGCTTCATAATAATCTTTCTTGCATAAATAATCATTCTTAATAACTTACCAATAATCCAAAATATTGCCGACCCAGCAGACGATATCCACAAAAGCGGGATCGAAATCCCAAACAACCAGGTATAAAGCTGTTTCTGAGTAATCACATATTGTTGAAAGACGTATGGTTGATCTGGCGGTAGTTTCCGGATAAAGTTAAGTCCAACAATCAAAAATATAATGGTGAATAGTAACCAGAAATTGGTTATCCTATATAAATAACAATAACAATATTATTCGATGTTAGATCGAGTTGTCTAGAGGAGGGGAATAATTTATTTATTTATTTGACTTACAGACAGTATATCAATAATCCGAGAACAACGAGGATGTAATTTGATTGGAAATACGTCAAATTATAGGAAAGCCGTTGAGTGATTTCTATTACATGATCGATAGAATAGCTTTTATTTAGAAAAATGTATTATTAAGAAAGTATACCATACTTTTATGTATATATTTCTGAATTCAAATCAAAATTAGAGTATAATATAATAAGTGACTTGAATAATGCAGTAATTTATAGGATTAACAAGTACAAAAACTAATTTTACGAATTGAATAAAAGAGTATCAAACAACAGCAATATCCTACCTCCCACTCCATTTGGTTTTGATAGTCTGTTTCTATCAAGGAACTCGCCTATTGGGCGAAAGTTTCCCATCCGCTCATTCTTAAATCGAGTCCAAAGTGGTAACGAAGAGGCTAAGGTTGGGAACGACGTTGGGAACGACGCCGGTAACGACGCTGGTAAGGTTGAAGGTGTTGTTGTCTGTGTCGAAGCCATGGCTCTCTGATTGACTATTTATGTATAATGAGCAAAGACAATATTAAAACTAAAAATCAATAAAGTTCAAAACTACGTATATATTTATTTTCTCGCAGTATCTCTGAATACGAGACAAGATAAGCGATCTCGGCATCTGTGCTACTTTGCTTACGTGTAAATCGTTGGAAGGCTATATATATTTAATTTATCGTTATGGTCAACTGATTCAAAAATCAAATAAATCGAGGAGATTTCCAGGCACATGGAAAAATTCGCGACGACAAAGTGGACGTAAAATGACGACCTATAGTCAACCAAACTCGTTTCCAACAGCTAACAACACTCGGAGAACCCATTAGGCATAACTGGCACAAAATCTACAAGCAAAACTGGAAATTTGTCGCGACCTGGAAAAATCTGCAACACCACCAATGAAACGACGAAAACACTCTACATAAAGAACTTAATCTAGTCGGAATTTGGTCGTGAAATTCGCCAACAAAAATGTCGACCAAAGAAATTGGTCTACGGGTAAGTCACGCTCATGACGACATGTCTAGTGATATTAGCGGAATGAGTGACATCCGATTTATCGACCAAAGCTCTGCTCGTGGTGTAATAATGGCGGTGGTGTGGGAAGAGAAACGAATCACTTACATAAAGTGATTCGTTATAATTGTAATAAAGTAATAGTTTTTAGTTTTGGGTTATAACGAATGTAATCAACGAATTAAAGATAGGAAGCCTCATGACCTGTAACCTCATAATTTATTAGCGAGTGGTCCACGGAGACTACAAAAGTACTAATTACATAACAAATACATTCTAAGATGAAAATTAGCGACATACAAGAGGATCGATTAAGGGATCATCCAATTTATGCGCAAACCAACATAGCGTATATAGAATCTGTGCTCGGTTCCTGATCACATGCACATGACAAATCAATAAGGATGCGCAAATTTTTGATCAGCCCGACAAAACAAATCCGACACAAAAAAATGAAAAGTGTGAAAATGTGAAAAAACGGGAAACTTGAAGCTTATCCTAACCCGAACGATAAATTGATCTTTAATAGTTGCCAGCAACATGATTTGCGAAAAAAAGTGTCGGGTCATCTGATTCCCGATCCGATATCGATCTTTGACAAGTTTTACTTGTACCACATGACAAAGTATATTTACAAGCTAGAATTAAAATTATATGTTTATATTTTGTACCAGATTTGTTTTTTCAAATTGATTAAAAATTTATGCTTTATTATTTATTTGCATCATCTTGAATATTCATTTTTGGATTTGTATTACTTGCACAAATAAATAAAGTCTTTCTGATATTCTTTTTATTAATATATAATATTAGAATTTTGACTAGAATTAGGATTAGATTTAAGATTATTGTATAGCAAATGGAGATATAATATATAGTAAAATTTTGCAAGAAATATTTTTTGTTTAAGATACAAGTTATTTTCAAAAATAAGTATTTTTTTGCATTATATATTAATTTTGTAATTTGATTAATACATGATTCTAAGAAAAATATCAAATAGTTAGTATCAAAATCAGAATTACATGATCAAATACTTTTTTTATTATGCTAAAATACTAATTAAATTGGTTTTAATATTATATTTTGTTATATAAGCTTTTTTAAACTAACTAATTATTAGATTTTTTTTGTTTTGTTTTTTATATTTTTTAAATTATTAATTTTTTTATAAAAAAATCAAAATATTATTACTATTAATATAAATATAATAACTTTTTCAAAAGTTATTATAATAAATATTAAGTATATTATATAATTTTTGATTTATTATTTGTAATTATTATATTTTTAATATTTAAAAATAAATTATTACTGAATTAATAATATTTATTATATATTAATTATTGTTGATATTAGTGATAAAAACTGCAACTAGCTATAAATTTATTACAATTCTTTGATTGGCTATTGCAAGTTAAAATATTACCTTTAGTTGATATTAATATTTATTTTTATATAATAATATTATTTTTTTGTAAAATAATATTATTATTTAATTGATATATTATTAATTTTAATTTTGTTATAATATGACTTTATATATTATAATTTTTATTAATTATTTCATTCTATCATCTTATTGATTATATTTATCACATGATTTATCTTTTATTTCTTTAATTTTATTGATTTATTATTTTTAGAAACATTAAGTTTCACATTTTAATTATTTAATACTCGTATCAA